CTAGTTTCGAGTCACAGCGAGACCGTCTTCGCTGCTCTTGAGGAAGAGTCCCTCTATGAATCGAAACTAGTCGAGCTTTGCTAAGTTAAGTATATTTACATGAGTTACTCGTAACTTTTAGTTAATTCAGTTTGTCTTACAATAGTTATTTTAAAATCATAATAGCATGATTATAGTTATGTCCTTATTGTTACGTTGTAAGTTATATACATATACACTTTAACTAATTATTCAGCACTTGTTCTTTTTCTATGTCAGTTTTTAGGCGTCCCTTTCTAGTAATACCACACACATGTGTTCGTATCTTGTTCGTAATCCGTAGATGTTTTTGTAAACTGTAGTATTTAAAGTCTTTGATTCATCCCCGTCGCCCAACTTTAAACATTCTGGTTTTTCCTGGTATTTATATTTATGTTTAAATTATAATAGAAAAAGTCCAGTTCGATTCAGACTTGCCCATCCATCCGATGTAATGTGATCTCTTTTGTTGTATCATATTCACAGACGTAATGTCTGCACATTTATTGATCGATACTAGTTTATATTCAGAAGATTCTAGTTAGGTTCGTTTAGAATTTGGTATGAAATGCGAGGGTCGTTTTCTTAAAAGGAATTAGGAGATCAATTCCTTGAAACTGACTCAATTCTATCCTGAGATCCTGAGTAGGTATAGTTAAGTCTGCATCCCTTTTGATTCATTTTTGTGTCAAAGTCAAAGCATTTATTTCAATTAAACCATAATTTGGTACTTTTGAAACGTCAACAAATACAAAATAAATAATAGTCTGCCAGTCAGTCCGTCAGTGAAGCTAGGTGAAGCTAGGTGCTCATTCCAAAATGTAGATTTGAATGGAGAAACTCCATTCGTTGCTCTATTTAAAAAATATGTTCTACAATGTCTCTGATACATATTCTAATACTGTACGTATATGTGAGAATAATGCAAAGACACGTTTGACGCATTATACTAATTACAAAGCTTACTTAAATAAAAAAATCTTAGTCTAACATGGTGTGATTTAATAATGCCCCAACTTTTGAGGATTATTTAATCCTAAACCCCAATACCCGATCATGGTATTTTAATTCTATTTTATTTGAACCGAAAATTCTATTTAGTTACACTAATGAGTAGTTGGCAACGTTTCTACAAAAACAGAAAGCCTTTTAATGATGCATGTTGCGACGAAATGACCTATTTTTCCTCGCTGGCCCTGTGGGAGAAAGGTCGCAGTTTATTGATTGGAAATGTCATTGTAATGGATAGTTATAACGTGTTTGTTATACTTTCGTGCAGAAACATTCTTTTCAATGGATTGTTCATAGGTATTGGCTTCCTGTTAAGGACTGTAATGTTCAGTGTATAAACAAAAATATGACACACGATGTGCCCAAACTAACGGCCATAATAAACCGACCTTCCAAATCTTGGTTCAAGGTCGATCTAGATTTTGGACAAAAATTGAACATTATGAATTGAGATCTGTAATTGATTTTGGCCGTAAGAGACTTCAAAGCTAAAATCTAGAGACAATGCGTGTACCGTTTTTGGACTTGTTTTTGAAGCATTATTTTGTTTATCGTTTTATAGTTCCTAACTATTTGCTAGTCGTAATATTTTGCTAATCGAATGAGTTTCAATTCAAGGTACTGCGCTCTGCGATCTATCTGAAGCTTTCGCATGGGTGAACCAATGCTGCTAATCAAACCCATTGAACCAAAATAGAGTTTATAAATCTACTTCGAGTTTTATGTTCTTTTTAAATTTTATTCTATATGATTTGTGATAAGGTATATATATTTGTAATATAAAGACTAGGTATTTTTGTTGTATGGTATGTTATTTGGCCGATATGTATGATTTTAATTAATTTTCTGTAAGGAAATTGATTATGATATGCATGACTTTTATAAATGATCTGCGTGAGATTTTTCCGAGTGAGGTGTATGGTTTTTGATTATAAATAAATGATTTAGCTTGAAAATTAACAGCTAACTACTTCAGATCACATAAAGAAGTCAATTTAGAAGATAAACTACGTTTCGGAAAGACATAGTTGTCCCTTGTCCCCCTAAGTTACGAATGAAACGGGTTGTTAGCGAAAAACATTAATGGTTATCCTTTTACGTAAACTAAACGAGTAAACAGTGTTACCAACTTATTATTACTACAATGGCGCTTGATTATTCCGCATCTACGAGTAACTAAATGAATAAACGGCGCCATCGTTCATTTGCCGGTTAATTATTTACGACCAGTCCGGCATCGCGCGATGGTGCGTGCAAACGTGTTTTTAGCATTTATCTCGATATAAAAACACTCGTTTTTGTCGTGTTTTCGCGTGCACATACTTGGGAGAACCAACAGGTATTGTCCCGAAGGTTGTGTTGGTGAAATTTTTGGATCTTGTTTGTGATTAATTAGAGTTCATTTTTGTGGTGTACTTCTTTCAAGAGATCTGCGTTTCAAGTGGAATTGTTATAGTCTCTTAATTGTAGTGATTAGTTTTATTAGTACTGATTGTTTGCCCGCTTTTATTACTTTGAAGTCACCAGTCCAGGGGATTGTTTATGTCTATTATGCATAATCGAGTTAGGTTTTTTTGCAAGTGGTGAATAACCTAGCTGTTTATTGTTTACATACATGCGTACACATTACGTCTGTCTCACATCTCGTATATAGAGATAAAGTCATGTTTTCATATTACTAACACGTGTTTCGCTGCTATCATCTGTCGAAGCCGGCTATCCGGTTTTGATAATTATTAATTTAGCCCTTTTACGTCATGAATGAATGTTGTAAAATTTTTGCCGTAGCCAACCTCTGCCAAAATCTCTTTTTCGTTCTTCACATCTTCTGCTGCACTTAATGTTGCTATACCTTCCAAATCAGTCTCTATTTTCAGCTGACGATTTATTTATCCTTTATTTACTGTTATAAACTCCTTTTATCAAGGTTATAGTCAGCACAAGTCTTTTATGAATCGTAGCTACAGTTATTAGAATCTGTATTGATAGATTGGTCAATATTTAACAAGGATCCACTACCACCACCATGTCTTCCACTACAAAAATGAGAGATAATGGAATGAGTACAATGCGTCTGTCTAATTCATTGCTAGACCGATGGCACTTCTAACTTTTAGATAAGTCGTGTCTCATTCATGGCCAGACTGTTAAGATTTCTGATAAGTGATATCCATAGTAACTGTCATAGCTGTCTTCACAGTCACCGATGCAAACTTGTGAGGCATGGAAGAATCTTCGGTCACCCATCCACGTACTAACCTTGTCAAACGCACGACTCTGACTTAGCTACGCACTTTGATAAGATTGACAGCAGTTTAATGTAAATTACCTATATTATGATGTATTTCCGTACATAACTCGTTTCGAATTAAAATGCCTTCCGGTTTTTCTCACGGCCAACAATGTTACTTGAAGATTTTCTCATAATCTTAGTTATTAACTATTATTATGTTGAGAATGTTATGACTTTTGAGCCTAATAAAAATATTGTTTTATGGGACAGAATTAGATTGAAGGCTGTGTTGTGTCTAGTAGATCGAGGTTGTATTCCTAAGATGGGTAAAACGACTTTTTTGGTAGAATGTCTGGGGATTCTTTTATGCCCAATTAGCCATTGTCCCCGTAGAATATGATTCCTGTTTTATCCTATGGGAGCATTTCATCGGGAAAAAAATCCTATCACATATGTCAGCCCATTCCCTGTCTGTATACAAAATTTCATCAAAATCCGTTCATTAGTTTCAACGTCAATCTTTCACGTTTATAATTTAGTGTGATGTATGGTGATACACTCTCTCTTCACCTCTTGACTATCGTTGTTGTATGGGACACAATTAAAATGCACAGGGTTTTGTAGATCTGCTTTCCTGCAGCCACGGGCTTAAGTATAAAATATTCCTATTTAAAAGGCTAGCATTGCACCTGTGACTCCTCTGGTGTTGCGGGGTTTACCACCAAGTGATCCGACTGCTCGTTTGCCTCCTAATCCATAAAAAAATAAAGCTGATGACAACAAGCCAAAAGTGTTTATGTAGGTCTTAGGCGTAGTAAACGTGGTGTTTAGGGTTTTGTTATAATTAATTGTACTACTCTATTTAAAATACAATAACCTTCAAAAAAGTTGACACATTACATTTCCACCCTGTAACTTTCCGTCCATCAATCAATTTTGATACTTATGTTGTTGTCTTTTGTACACAAAGTGCTTCATTAATTTGATTGGATTGAAGTATATTATTGAACTTGAAGTGATGCCTCAAACATATTGTATTGTCTGTCATTTCGTTCGACATGTCACTGTGTCAAATAGTTCGATAAAGGTCACTTTATTTCGGGTCTACACTTGAAAATTTCCTTTGATCCGCCCTATTTTGTGTAAAATTTGGTCAGCACCTTTTTAATGTTTCTGAGAAGGAGATTTCGGTACTCCAAAATCAGTTGTGAAACGGTTAAAATTAAAGGAGAGGTTCGAGTTAACTTTTACGTGTTTATCATTTTTTGTGCTACTGGAAATACCATAGAGCTCCATCTTCTGCTCTTCGTATGCAACTACATTTAGCATCTTTGTAAATATTTGTCATTTCACTTATTTAGAAGGTGTCCTACGCTACGTTTGCTTGGCGTAGTTACTTTTTCAAATGATTTCATCCAATGGTCTCCGGTTTTCTGATGAATGTCGTCTGCTGACTGCCATTTCAGCTTGCTAATCCTTTGGTCACTTTGGTTCTTAGTTGGATCGCCTCGAACCTTTACACATTAAAATTCTCAATTAAGTATACCTTATATCGTTTCCGTTTAAATTGTACCGAGTAACAAATATGGCGTCTCCGAATTTGCGATCCATTTTATAAAAGAGTTGAAACTTCATACATTGTGTAGAAAAATCAATTATGTATAATTAACTTAAGATTTCGAATTGGTTGCAGCGAAATTCATAAGCCATTTATTGTGACATGAAACGTTTTTTGCAGCATTCCACGGAGGAGGGGGGCGGGGGGCGGCGTGGGTTGATCGACGTGAGCGCAGGCGCAGGCGACATGTGGATCAGCGCCGTCGAGAGCTCCATACTGGCCTGGGAGGAGGTAAGTTCAAGACTACTTTTGAAAGCACGAGAACTAATTCTAAACTACAGACGAATATTACAAAGAACAAAATGTATTGAGAGATTAATTGATTAGGTGTTCAAGGAAGAAAAAGAGAATAAACCATGATTGAGAAAGTGTAATAATTCTCAGCCTACTGTTGCATTATGGGCTTCCTCTACATAAGGGGGTTTGAATTGATATAACCTTCATGCTTCGCAGGCAGGTTGAAGATAGCATTCAAAAGGTTCACGTTTATCAGAGAGCGCTGCTAGTCTCAGTTAAGATTGTAAAATTGTATGTAGCTTCATTGCGTTTCTCTAAATGTAGACCTATAGAAGTACGCAGGTGTCAACTCAATTACTAAAAGGTCAAACAAACCAACAAGTTATCACTCTACGGCTTGTTTGCTCACGGAAATGAAAAACTCGATCATATCGACGTATCACGCAATATCGAAAGAAGTCGTGTTCCTTTTTATTACTGTATCGATCGATTAATATCATAATATAGATTCGTTCTATCACGCTATATATACATTCTTTATAGTTGTATTTTAGATATAAGAGTATTCGTAGACATTGTATTGTCTAATGGCTTAATGAATCATTATTTTATTGGTAATTGCTTTACCAAGAATAATGTGGAATTCATTAAGATAGATTTGTATTCTTATTCTTGTACGACAGAACAGTTGTAAGAACAATAAGGTCCCGAAAAAGTTTACGGCCTTTTCCTTCTTTTTCTAAAACAACAGAAGCTTATAAAATATATAATGAAACGTTAATTTAATACGAATAAAAAGAGACAAAATAAGCAAGTTATAATTCTATTATTGTGATGACTTCCTTATGGGGGATGTCAAGGGGTTTGCTAAGGCCCTATAGCAGTTCTTGTTACTCAATCAAAATATTTATAAGTACTTAAGCCATGTGCTTTCACGGAATGATATGATGATTTCCACATGCCAATGATGACTGTAGTCTTATCTTTATAGATATTCAAGTGGTCTAGATAACAATTCGTAATCTCTTGGACATACTATAAAACTAGATACTGCTTACTGATGTGTCTTCTAAAATGTTACGTCACGGTAGAGGAGTATGGTTTTTTTTTTTTTTTTTTTTTTTTAAGGGGGGAAAATCATCGAATGACTGCCCCCGCCTGGGTGAGGCGGGAGGGAGTGTCAGACTCTTACTGACTAAAAACCACCCCGTTCCTTCTCCTGCACGTCGAGCCGGAGCCCCGGTTACCCGTTAGGTTCTCCGCGACTCCGAATCGGCATCGGCCCTATTGGGCCCCATCTGTGGTGGTCTGATGGCTCTTTGAGGCGCGCGCGGAACGCGACGCGCCGTACGCTCGGGTCTGTTTCTGGTCGGACGGGGAGCCACCCATGCTCGCCGTCCGCAGGCCCGCGCTTACGGTGGCCGGAGATCGTCCCGCGATCCCCGACGCCCGGTGTGTCCTTCGCGATGGCTGGGTTGCGAGGAGGCAGCGCTTCGCTGCCTCACGCGTCCCGCCTCCTCCTTAGCTAGCATGACTGCTTCGCAAAAGGAGGAGACGGCATCCCAATCCCCCTCGCTCCGCATCATGGCCTGCACTAGGCCCGGACGCGAGAGGTCGCCATCGCCGATCACTTCCCTGAGGACACGGCGGTGCTCAGCCCACGAAGGGCATTCTCCCACCGTGTGTTCCACCGTGTCCTCAGGGCGGTCCTCGCAGTGATGACACCCGGGCGTTTCCTCCCGCCCCATCAGACACAGGTACCTCCCGAAACTTCCATGTCCGGTGAGGACCTGCGTCAGGCGGTAGGTGAGGACGCCGTAGCGTCTCTCAAGCCACTCCTCAAAGAGGGGACTTACCGCTGCGATGGCAGCGAGCCCAGCCCTCGGTTGCGACAGTCGTTGCTGCCATTCCGCCATGAGATCGCGCCGGAGCTCATCCCGCCACGCACTTATCTGGCGCGGCAGCGGAGTTTCGCCCCGGCGACGTGCCTCCGCGCGCATGCTGTGCACGCGCGCGAGCACCTTCGCCTCCAGATCCCACGGCGGTAATCCGGCAAGGAGGTTCGCCGACTCCCCAGAGATCGTGCGGTATCCGCGGATCATTCGGATCGCCATGACCCTCTGTGCCATGAGCAGCGTCCGAGCGGGACGCCGCAACAGGTTAGGCGCCCAAACAGGGGCGCCGTAGAGGGCCATGGACCGCACGACCCCGGCGTATAACCTCCGGCAGGAGGCGTTTGGCCCCCCGAGGTTGGGGAGGATGCGTTTAAACGCAGCCCCCGTCCTCTCCAACTTTGGAGCCAAACGTCGGAAGTGTTCAATGAAGTTCCACCGACTGTCGAGGACGAGTCCTAGGTACTTCATCGTCGTCTCGACGCCGATGGTAACTCCTCCCGCCGTTATTTGGGACCCACCCGGAGGTGGCGCGTTCCCGCGGCCATGAAAACACATGGCCTCGGACTTGTGGAGCGCCACCTCGAGTCCCAACTGCCGGATTCTCTCAACGACTGTCGCAACCGCTGTCGCCATTAAGTCGGCCGCCGCCTGGTGTGACCTCCCGTGCGCTAGCACCAGCGTATCGTCGGCGTAGCATATTGTGCTAACGCCGTTCGGGAGGTCGGTGCGCAGCACCCAGTCATAGCCGATGTTCCACAGGAGCGGCCCCAGAACCGAACCCTGTGGAACACCGCGTGACATCTCTCGCCGGTTCCACTCGCCCCGGTGACCGGGGTAGCTGACGGACCTGTCCGTCAGGTAAGCCTCGATTACACGACGGAGGTAGGTAGGCACCCGATGATATCGGAGTGCCTCCAAGATGCAGCTCCAGGGCAGGGAGTTGAAGGCGTTGGCGATGTCCAGAGACACCGCCACTACGACCTTACCCCTGGACACTGCAGTCCCCGTCGTGAGGTCTCTAACGCGCATGATGGCGTCCACCGTGGAGCGCCCTCTGCGGAAGCCGAACTGGCCGTCCGACAAGTCCGGCCCAATGTCCGTCAGGTGCGCGACGAGGCGGTTCGAAATGATTCTTTCGAAGACTTTCCCCACCTCGTCGAGCAACACTATGGGCCGGTACGCGGACGGAGAGTCCGCAGGGCGCCCCGTCTTCCGCACGAGGACCAGTTTTCCCGCTTTCCAGAGAAGCGGGAACTGGCCTCTCTCCAGACATGCGCTGTAGAGACCAATCAATCGAGGCCCGAGAGCCTCTGAGGCCAGGACCCATGCCTTGCCATGCAGGCCGTCGGGTCCTGGGGCGGTGTTCTTGGCGCCCATCCGGCGCACCGCCGCTCTCAATTCTGCCTCGGTCACCTCTGGGACGATGTCGTCGTCGTCGTCGCTGTAGCCCGCGTCGGGCACCGCAGGGGGCGGAGTCATATACGGAGGGGTGAACCCCCTCCACAGTCGAGGGAACAGGGTGCCAATCACCTCCTCCAAGACTTCTTGCCGGAGACTCTGGGTGAGCGGGGGAGCCCAGGCGCGGAGCTTGTCGCGTACCATCCGGTACGGGCGTCCCCACGGATCTCTGTCCAGAGTCCCCAGCATCTCTCGGCGGGCCTCCTCCTTGGCCCGCAATATCTCCACCTTGAGGAGGGCCTTGGCCGCCCTGTATCCCTCGTACAACTCCGCCTCTCTCGCCTCCGCATTAGGAGGACGGATGCGGCGCCTGCGGTGCCTAGTGTACTGGCGTCGCGCAGCAGTGCACGCCTTGCGTAGAGCTGCTAGCTCTTGCGACCACCAGTACACCTGGCGCTTTTGTTGCCTCGACCGGATCCGGGGCATCGCCACGTCACAGATCCTGGACATGGCGTCCTGGAGCCACTTGGCCTCATCGTCTATGTCGGCAGGCCTGACCGGTGGTATCACCCAGGCCTGCACGATGGCGGCTTCCAGGAGCAGCTCCCGGTCCAGCTGTTTCAGCGCCCAACGCGGGCCACATGGGGCCTGTCTGACCGGCGGGTCTGCGGACTCGGCGGAGACGTCGAACCGGATATACCGGTGGTCGGAGTACGTCTCCACCTCCTCCATGACGCGCCAGCCAACAATACGCGGTGACAGAGCAGGGCTGGCGAACGATATGTCCACCACCGACTCGCCCTGCATCCGCACACACGTGGGGACAGAACCCCGGTTCAGGACGACTAGGCCTGTCTCAAGGGCCCAGTCTTCCACCATCCTACCCCGGACGTCGGTGAACCGGGAACCCCAAGCCAAGTTTTTGGCGTTGAAGTCCCCGAGGACGAGCACGGGGAGGGAACGGAACCCGACGACGACAGTGACCAACTCCCTCAAGGAGTTGTGGAACTCGGCGAGAGTTCGGTTCGGAGAGAAGTACACGCCCACCACAGCGAGCTCTCCGAACCGTGCTGCGACACAACCCCGGCCTCTTTGAGCAGCCTCAAGAGTCGGGGTACCGGCGGCGGCCGACGAGATGATGGTCACCGAGCCGTCCAGGTCCGCCACCCAGTGATCCCTGGGCGGGACAAAGTACGGCTCGGAGACCACGGCGACATTGATTGACCACTGCGCCATGCTCTGGAGCAGGAGATCCTGAGCAGCGGCGCAGTGGTTGATATTCGCCTGGAGGAGGCGGAATGGAGCCATTATTGGCAGTCCATTCCGACCTCCTCAGTGGCGGCAGCGGCGACTGCGGTGGCAGTGGCGGCGGCGGCGGAGACGACGGGGGCGGCGGAGGGCCTACTTTTGCCCTTGGGTTTGGCGGGAGGGGAGCAGCCCTTGCTCCCGACCCGGTGATTGGCCGGCTTGCCAGCCGCCGCACATGCGTTGCAGTGCAGCGGGGCGTTGCACGAGCCGGCCTTGTGACCGGGCCGACCGCAGCGGAAGCAACAGTCGCTGCGGTCCACCTCCGAGGTGCATTTGACGCTCACGTGCTCCCCCACGTGACAGCGGTAGCACCTCAGAGGCCGGGTCTCGAGCAGCTTGACCTGCGCCGAGACCCATCCCACCAAGAGCCTTTTGCCCTCCTTCAGCTTCTTG